ATTTATGAGTAAGTTGCCTCGTAAGCAGGGCCTAGGTGGCGCTAACGACAATCAAAATCTTGGTCTGACCTTGACTATTTGAGTGAGGCCCCCATTCACTTCAGTCCGCTCAAGGTTAACGTGAGCTGCTCAGCAGTGCCACCGAGAAGCGCTGCAGAGTGGCTGATAAAATGTTAACGTGCGCTTCTCAGCAGTGCCACTGAGAAGCGCTGCAGAGGGGCCCGTTTGAAAATGTTCTTAAGATCCAGATTATTTTTAAAATATCTCTTGATACAAGATGTCTCAATTTCAAGTGGCGAGCCAAACTTACAATTTTTTAAACTACTTGTAATCTACTTTAACCAAAAGACCTCCGTTCTTCAAATGTTACGCCAATAATGAAGTTAATTTGGAAATTATCTCCAAAATTAATAACTATCCCTAACTAACCTTAGGTATTTGCTATTGCTCTGTTTATATGAGAAAATGTCCTGTTTTGGGGGGCACAAATAGCATTGTAATCAAGGGCGGATACAAAAGGGGGTTATCATAGGGCCATAATAATTTTTCCTAATTTCGTAGATAACTTAAGAAAATAAATACTTTGTATGATGACAAACACCAACGCGAATGACACACATATTATGAATATTTAGCTGTTATTATAATTATATGGCGCATCAGATCTTTCAGTATTACAAATTAGTAACTATCTTAATACGGGCCCGATTTGGATCATTGAAAATTCGTTCTAAAGCGAGTTTTTTGATGGTCAAAAACACGATTTTTCAAGAATTTTTTTATATGTAGACATTTTCTGCATAGAAGATCGGCCCGATTTGGAAATTTGTTGAAAGATGTACGATTTTCTGTAAAAACTGCACCTCGGAAAATTGCAATCGGTAGAAAATCTTCGAAGTTATGATGATTTTAAGGTCGCAAAGACGATTTTCCGAACAAAGTACCTTGAATTTTTCCTCAATTAACTCATTTTCAAAATTTTACATCAGATTGTTTGCAAATAGTGTATTCTCGACACATTCACTGTCTATAAGAAAATTTGTATTTGCAACAGTTGGGACAAAAATGGGCTCTGAATATTGGCAAGCGTAAAACTCTCAAACTTACATATATTTCCACTCTTTACCCTGTAACTTGGTCAGTTATCAACATTTTTCAGAAATTCAAATACTCTTAAAAATCCCATAGACTTGGCGTAAAAAGTTGTTTCAGAGCCAATTTATTTTGGCCACCGTTTCAGCGCCAGGGGAGTTTAAATTTTCAAAGATCTGATGCGCTGGTTGTTCCTGGAAACAAGCTCTTTTGCTACACTAATTTTGGCGGCGCACCAGATTTTTTTAACCCCAAAATGTATTTTCAAGAGCTACTCAACGGTTGAGAAATTGAATACAAGTTCCACTTTCCAATAACATAGTTTTCGTATTGATTCGGAGAAAATGAAATTTGGAGTTAGAGAGACTTAAACTGCCATCCACATTGTTTGCACACTTATTTGCCCATAACTCCGAAACTTTTAGAAATATTTTGAAAAGAAAAAACGCCCTGGATTGCCACGGGTATTCCCGACAGTTCGGCTTTCTTGACAAAAATCGACATTAGAAACGGTTTGGGAGATAATGAACTCGGAATGTTGGCAACCGTTCGATTATTTTGCCAGCAACGTCGTAAAAAGTGTCAAGCTATTTCAAAAGTTTCAAAAGCCCCAAAAAAACGCGAAGAAGTAGCTATAAAAACTATTCTATCCTCATATTGGGTAGCGGCAAGAGCAAGGGAGTAAAACGACTTCGAACTCACAGAGTGCGCATCCTTTTGAAAAAAAATTGGTTGATAGAATGAGCCGTTAGCTCTAAAGTGCATGCTCTTAGCGTGGTGACAATATTCCACTTATAATTAAAATACTTACATATTTATTACTGTTGATAACAATGGGTTAGAATTGAGGAAAAACTTCCTCAATAATTGAACTGAAACATGTCCTAACTGAATCTCTATTAATGACATGACCCCTCCTGACCGGAAAACTTGATCCGCCCTTGATTGTAATGTTCGTACACTTCTACTAATTTTCATTTAAAATTGTTTTTTCTTTAATTGTTGCGTTTTAAGTGATTGCCTTACCATTAATTTTATAATAGTTCTTCGATTTGCAATGAAACAAATAACCATGTAGATCATTCCTATAATGCAGTTAAGAGCTATCATGTTTTCCACAGCTGCAGTCAAGTTTGGTACCCCGTCTAAGAAATTGCAAATAACTCAGTTACCTGTTGAAAGACGCAAAAATAATCGAAAAGGGAACTTAAAAATAAATCAGCCAACTTAACAAACCATGAATTTGATTATTGGCATTTTTTTTCTCCTTTAACAAAAGTTGTTGAAATTATTAGATACCCATAACTGAAAATTTCTGCCTTAAAAAGATTACTGTAAAATGATGCGCCATGGCGATTTCCATATTTTGTTGCAAAAAAAATTGAATATAGCATGTTATACACAAACATTTTCAATGCTAGAATGCCAAATCGTAAAATGTAAGCAAACTATGAAAGCACTACCTTCAGGGCTTCTTAGGCCGCAGTGGCAAATAATTTATTCCTGATGTTTCGCATGCACGAGTGACTTGCATCTTCAGAGGTTCACTCGTGCTTGCAAGTCGCTAGGAGCAAATTATTTTCCACTACGACTTAAAGACCCGAACAACTCACCAGTTTCAAGCATCGACGGCAAAAGCCTTCACACTATGTTTTTGCATAATGAAAAAGTCTACCCCAAATGACCATCTTTATGGTTCTTGAATAATTTTTCCAAAAATTAGAACCAACAGATTTTAGACAATTAAAATAAACTTAATCATAATATTCATGTTACTCATTATATAAAATTTGTTTTCCTAAATTAGAAATGATCAGATATTTCTTACCATATAACTGCATAATAAAGTCGGCCATTATAGGAACAGCACAGGGCATTAAGGATGAAATCATTAAGCAATCCTTCATCAACCTCCATTTATCATATCTGTAATCGATCAAATCCGGCCATAAGCCACAAGCTTTTAAAACCATTATATTGAACCCGAAGAAAACATTCTCCTCTGTCTTCTTAAAAAACTTCATAGTAAATATGAGGCAACCCAGTGCTGTACAACCCAGTATGTGCACCTCATGCTGAAAAAAATGCTTATATGGGCTGTTTGTACTATTTAAATTTTGCATTTTGCTGTCTAGTTTCAAAGGAGAACTCCACATTCTTTGATGTTTTCCATTAGACCATATGTGGCATATGAAATACATCGTACTTGATTAATAGGTAGGCCGTTCTTAACTAAAGCCCATTATTTATTTATAATAAAATTTGCCATTTACCTTGTCATGTCTTAGAAATATATAGTACTTAAACAAAAATATAATAGCTATTTACATGATTGGTAATGATACACGAATTCGTGATTTATTTTAAATTAATAAAATGCTTCATTGTCTCAATAATTACACAGATTCCTATTAAGAACACAAAAGCAGAAAATGTTCAAATAGTCAATTCAACCTCCTTACCTAATCAAGCTTCGATTCTGCTCATTATAATTACTTCAGGGATTATTTTGCTGAAGGAGCTTAAATTATTAAATAATGTTGATATAGCATTTGCGTATAAGCCGCTCCACTTCCCTTAACTACTACAAAAGTTGTAAAAATCAATTATATTCCATTAAATTATTCCCAGATAACATGTGTTTCAGCTGTGTTTCATGTGTTCTAGCTGATATATATATTAGTGCCATATTGTATAATGAACCAGTGGTTTCTCTATTTTTCGATATATTTTTTAATTTCCAAATGGTTTTAGTTTTTATTGTTTACTTATGTGTTGTTTCTCAATCTTTTACTCGTTAAAATTGCATAAACTTCAGTTTCCACATTAATAATGATTGCGACTGCACATTATAAATGCAAGTTCATTATTTTTCGATCCCCATGTTTAATTTTATCGACCCAGCAATTTGTATGCTGGTTAAGTTGAAACTACGAAGAAATTAAATTAAGAAATAGTAACGTGTTGTATTTTCGTTCATCATAAACGGATTTGAAAAAAGTGCATTTTAGTAATAAGAGTATTAAATAATCAAGAAACTAACAAATTTACAAAGAATTTAAATACAATTAGTTGGATGAACGAATATGAATTCAATTTATTTAAATCAACACATTATTTATTAAGAAAATATAATAGAAAATATTATGATACCTATTCATTACAAAAAAATAGTTTGATTGATTTTAATGATATTTGCTATCTTTACGCGTAAGGAAATAATTAGAAAGTTTTTAATGTATACTTATATACAGGGTGTTTGGTAAGTAGATGCATTTCTTGCCGGAGGTGATCTATAGGGTGTTAAAGTTTTAATTTAAAATATATTATTTATTAATAGGTATTGCGGAAACCGCTTGGAATATTTTAGTGAAACTTTACAGGCTTAGGCAGAATACATGTTTTGTGAATACAATTTTGTTTTTAGTTTCGCCAGTGGTGTGGGCACAAGCACGTCTGTGGATAATTTTAAATGAAACAATGTTACGCCACTGATTTTTCTAAAATTAAATATTATTTTTCAATTCGGAAGAGAGTTAAAATCACTTCCTTGGAAAGGGAGTTTTTAAAACAATTTTTATTTTAATTGACATGGATTTCAGCTTCAAGATACAACTGTTTGTTATTACAGGCTTGTATGAATATATACTGAATTAATGCTGATGAGTTTACATGCTATCTGTGAAACTAAAGAACATTATGTACTTCGTAAGCATAATTGGATATTTCCTTATGCTTAGCTGCGAAATAGAATATCATGAATTTGTGAAGTTGGCTAAATAGGATATCATAACTCCTTCGGCCTTAGATGAAATTATATCATCAAAGTGATGTAATTTCATTTGAAAATTAAAGTTTCTTTAATTTCAATTTGATTATTTTCCGATTTGTTCTTAAGTTTCTTTTTAACGTTTGATGGATAACTGGGTCGGAAACGCATACGTTAACTCGGAGATAGAGCACACCTCGGTTGTGTTGCTGCGTTATCAAAAATGTTATCCTGAACTGTTAAGTTGCCATAACGTGTGGCCGTTAAAAATAGCATTTATGATACAGCACAGGGCTGA